GAAGAAACTTCTGAAGACAATAGCAAAAATCAATGAAAAAGAAAATTCAGGCCAGGTGTGGTGGCTCACGCCTGTAATCCCAGCACTTTGGGAGGCCGAGGTGGGTGGATCACCTGAGGTCAGGAATTTGAGACCAGCCTGGCCAACATGGCAAAACCCTGTCTCTACTAAAAATGCAAAAATTAGCCTGCCATGGTGGCAGGCACCTGTAATCCCAGCTACTCAGGAGGCTGAGGCAGGAGAATTACTTGCACCTAAGACATGGAGGTTGCAGTGAACCAAGATGGCACCACTGCACTCCACCCTGGGCAATAGAGTGAGACTCTGTCTCAAAAAGGAAGAATATTCATATAATAGAGAAAATTAACAAATCCAGCTGAACTCTCCTATGTTGTTTGTGGAAATACAAAATGAAGCAACCACTTTGGGAAAAGATCTGGCTATTTTTAGTTGTGTTAAGTATACGCCTACCCTATAACTAAAACATTTTACTCCTAAATAGTTCCTCAAAAAATGCGAAATACATTTTCACAAAAAAGACTTGTAAAAAAGCGTTCATTTCAATTTTATCATAGCCAAAAACTAGAAATAGCCTAAGTGCCAATCAATAGGTTGATGAATATAATGAATTATGACTCATCAATGAGAAAGAATGGACTCAGTATACACACAATCTATGTTTCCATGTATTATCTCTTTCCATCTTCATAACAATCTCTTTCCATCTTCATAACAACCCCGCTATTTGAGATATGAGGAACAGATACACAGAGTTCTTTAACTTGGTCAGATAGCTAGTGAGGTGTACCAGGACTCAAATACTGGTGGTGTAGTGCAAAATGCTTGCTGTTAAGGAATATATTGTACTTCCCTATGTTCACCTAAAACAGTCAAATCCATGGAGTGGTGTGTAGTACGAAATGGGTATCTTGGAAAACTGTGCTATAAAATTTCTATCTACACATTGCTTCCAAGCAATCATAAATAAAGGGTGAAGACAATTCTGCAGAATAGAACCTTAACTTGCTCATAAATGCACAGACCTATTCAGCCAAGGAAATGCTTAAGAAAGATGGAAATACTGTCAGTTGTTTTAACTTTGCTGCTACAACTACCAGATAAAGACGGCAGGAAGAAGATGTGCTAGCAAACTGGTGGATTAGGTATCAGAAGACCGAGGTTCTTATACCAGCATTGTGACAAGGTAGCCAAGAAAGAGAAGACATATCACCTCTCTGGACTGCATCGACTGATTAAGGAGGCTGGACCTAATGAGCTTAAACTTTCCATTAAATTAGATTCTGTGCCTGTCTTCCTAATAGATGGAATCCTACTTAAATTTTTAAAAAATTGTTATTGCCAATCTTTAATAACTCATTCATAATAAATTATCATCTACGAAAACATAGTTTACATAGAACACGAAGAGTTATTTACAATTCAATATCCAATAAGTCTTTATTGAGAGGTATTTGTTGCAAGGAGGTGATAAAAATAAGGACCAGCTTGGGAATCAGATATACCTGGTTCAGATCCCAGTTCTGAACTGCCTAGTCATATGAACCTGAGCAATGCACTTCCTCCCTGGAACTCAGTATCCTCATCTGTAAAATGGTAATATATAAATGCATATCCTGATGGCCTGTTTCCCACTCTGCCTAGGCAGCCATTGCCAGAGTTTTTCTCTGACCCATTCTTTCCCAAAGTAACTCCCACTTGCTGCCAGGAAACTGCCCTTAATGTATCTTCAGTCCAGGTCCCAGTGCCTTCTGTCTGATTTAAGTTAGAAGGGTTCTAAGGGAAATGTGAAAGAACTTCATTAATAGTGTGTATAAAACCAGGCAGGCATATTGAAAGCAGGGAGATACACTGCAAACCCAGCAGGTGTAATCTTATTTGTAACATCACATCTTTAAGAGTTAATAAATAATTTTAATTTAAAAATAAAAGAAATAAGAAATGGAAAACTTGTGTGTCCCACTACTGTTTCAAAATTGAGTAGCAAATTATTGTATTGTTACCTATAATACAGGTACTATATAGTATATATTACCTATAAAGTAGGTAGCTATAAATTAGGTTCAAGAAAAGAATCCTAGCTTTCAAATGCTTAAGCTATTTAGCTCATAGCTCCTCCTCTTCTGTTGCAATTTGTTTGTTCTGCTGTTATAATGCTTATCTCTGTGGAAGTCATTTGGGATCCCTCTCCTTCCGTATTTCTCTCTCCCTGACTCTCCCCTGCCCTCCCTCTCCCACTCTTGATCTCTCTCTCTTTCTCTCTTTTTCTTCTTTCTCTACAACTGCAGTTTGAGCCTTTAAAAGGCTGATCTAATATTTGGTTCTTTGTTTTGTGTCCCACAAATTAGCACAGACTCAGTCATATAATAGGTGTTCAATCACTGTCCGCTCATTTAAATTAATCATTATAAACAAACATGCCACTGATATGGACCAAAGCCTTTTCCATCCAGAAGTTCCTTCTGAGAAACACAGAGCATGGGGAAATGAGGACAGAATAAGTAATCTAACCTAAAAGATTGTGAAGCTTCATGACCACGCCCAGAATGCAACAGTCCAAATATGAATTCAGTCCTTTGTTTTTCTTTCTTTCTTTTTTTTAAATTGGCTTCAAAACTGACCATGAGTCATAGGCCAGACTGTCATACAAAGAGGACAATTTTTCATTCTCATATTTTTACATTCTACACTAAAATCCAGAATGTCTTACACTAGAATATTATGGTAAAAAATCAAAATAAATAAATACATAAAAATACACATATAAACGATGTTACTTAAAAAGTAAAACACTCCAGGGTCTTAGCAGAACCTTCCAACATCTTAACTGAGACCCACACTTGGACATCCATACCCTTACACTCAGATTTGTAAAGTATGAAAGAGACAACAGATATCATTTGCATTAGAGGATTTCAGTATGAATGGCCTAAGAAAGAATCAAGATACTTAATTTTTTGAATAGAATAAAATTTTTGAATCTTTCTATCTATCTATACATATCTATGTATTTATGTATATTTTTCTACCCTATTCAGTAGTACTAATCATAGATCTATTAATAGCAATAATGTAAGTAATATATTAGGTATACATTGTATGCAGGCATTGTACTCAGCCTTGCATATTATATTATTTAACCCTCAAAATGAATCTATAAACTAGAAAATTGAATCTAAAGAACACTAAATAAATTGTGAAAACTGTGCACATACAAAATAGGAAGGCAGTATTCAAACCTATAAATTATAACTTCAGGGCCCCCGGTCTTAATCACTACAATATATTTACTAGATACAATAACATTTTACCCAAAGTATTGTAAAATCCAGTTGGAAGTTTAGGAAATTCACTGTGTACATGAATACTATGAAGAATGGTTACTTCTTTTTTAACATCAAGCTGGATGGACGTTACAGCACGAGACCACACTTGTTTTTTTTTTTTTTTTTTACAAAATTTGTCTGTGAATGGGCAGTCAAAAGCTGAAGCAACCTTGATTTTGATACCTGGGTAGAAAATAGCCTTACTGACCAACACCTGCCCCATGCTTTATCCCTTATGCTTCTTCCCCCTCCCTTAAACTTTTCACTAAAGAGATAATTCACCCAGGCTAAGATCTAGGGCCATATTAGGACTTGAGGATACTTAAATTCTGACAGAGTTATGATACACCATGTAGTGAAAATAATATCAAACTGAAAAACTAATATTCACACATAGGCAACAACAAACAGTTTGGTTTATTTTTCAAGCATTTCTGTGTAAAATTTTTGGGATTAATCCATTGTAACATCTTTTATCTTTTAAGACAGATACCCATCTGCTGGTTCCTAAAGCTGAGTCCTCAACCATGGGGTGTACGTACTCAGAGAATGTTCAAGATGCCCCACTGAGTTAAAGGAAGAAAATGTTAGAACTTCTATTTGTATTTATTTGTAATCAAAAGTCAATTATTTTATACATATTTAAAACATAGATGGACATGGAAGATCTCATCCAGGCCACGTATCAGAGGGCCACATATTATTCACTCAATCTCCAGAGGGAAGAGTAGGATGCCCAAAATGTGTAGGGATTGGAAGTGGAATTTTCACTCATTTTTCTCTCTTTTAGTGTATAGCAATCATTTGTAGTTTACTTGTATTCACCTAAGTGAATTTATAAATTATATTATCTAGTTTTAAACAATTTAATGATAATAAAATGAGTAAGTGGTTTAAAATGTGTCTATTAAGAAATTGCAGATTGAAGTTAACATTAACAATGCAAGCCCAACAAAATTGAGAACACAGAGAATCTAACCATTTAATAGAACAAGCTCCTCATTAGCCATGCTGCAAAGTAAAAATAAGGCATTAACCTGAAAGCATTTAAAATTATTAGGGAGACTAATCTATGGATTTGTGTTTATTCTAATTAATTATGAACCTCTTCCTAAGGACATATTGTGCCTTGATGGTTTCTAAGTAAATAACAGTATGATGCCATCATGACTAAGAAGAAGTTATTTAATTTCTCCAACAATTGCTTTAAGATATAGTACTAAAACAAGTACTTTGCAAAATTTCCCTCAAGGTGAAATAAATGCTTAGGAATCACTTTTGAAATTCCTTCATCTCAATTAGAGAAATACTTATTTTGCCTGCTGCCTACAAAAATATGGTCAGAAGCTAAAATACACTCCTTGGTTGGACAAAAGAGTTTTAAGGCCCATAAATCATCAAAATATAGTTTTCAAATTATCTTCCCCCATTTGAATCTACATATCTTCATAAAGTAAATTTTTCAATAATCACAGCCTTTAAAGACAGTTTAGAAATAAATAGAATTTAAACCCTGATCTTGGAATTTCTGTAATATAGTATATTAAACCAATATTTTTTTAAAACCTTAAGCTTGTTAATTTTTTTGCTCACATTAAGTTAATAAAAAACACGTTAATAATATAGTAATAATATTTTCAAAGTGATGGTGTTTACCTTATTATGTCTTTTTCTTGGACACGTAAGACTTCATTTTTCAGCCTCATTTGCAGTAAGATCTGGATCACTTGACTGAATTCTGGGTGCTGAAATGTAAGTTGGAAAGTTGTGTATCATTTCTGAGCCTAGCTCTTAAACCTTCATGTGCAGTATTTCAGATTTTACTTTCCTTTTATAAAGTGACTTTGGAGGCAAATGTGGCAACATTATAAGATAAACTCATCTGGAATTACACAAGAGAAAATAACCTATGGAAGCACAGCCCACATTGGACTTTAATGTGAACAAGAAATAAACTTTGTATTGATAAGCTAGCGAGAGCTCAGTATTGCTACCACGAGTGAGGCAATTCTACACAGACTAATGCAATTATTAATAGCATATTGAGACCCAAATTTTTTGTACCATAAAAGTATTTATGTAATATTGTTTTTTTTTTTTTTTTTTTTTTTTTTTTTTTTTGAGACGGAGTCTCGCTCTGCCGCCCAGGCTGGAGTGTGCAGTGGCCGGATCTCAGCTCACTGCAAGCTCCGCCTCCCGGGTTCACGCCATTCTCCTGCCTCAGCCTCCGGAGTAGCTGGGACTACAGGCGCCCGCCACCGCGCCCGGCTAGTTTTTTGTATTTTTTAGTAGAGACGGGGTTTCACCGTGTTAGCCAGGATGGTCTCGATCTCCTGACCTCGTGACCCGCCCATCTCGGCCTCCCAAAGTGCTGGGATTACAGGCTTGAGCCACCGCGCCCGGCCATGTAATATTGTTTATTTCATCTTTTTGTCACAATTTAAAATTTCCATTTTCCATGTCTTACATGTAATATATTTCTACAGTAGCGTAACTATACATCTGTTTGGGTTGCATGCCAAAGGTACTTTTTCTTGATAACTAAATAATAAAAAACATTTGGAGATAATTAAATTAAATATATGCTTTATTATCAAATTTTCATCACCAGCTACTTAAATAGCCATAGGATATCTTTAGACTTATTATCGCAAAACTGTATAATATATTTAAGCCCTAAGCAACAAGAAATGAATGACAGTTGCATCTTACATCCACACACCTCTCCTAATTTTTAGTTGATATGGATCACCACACCCCAAACCAATGATTTACTAAAAGTAGAGAGTATTAGTACCAAGGAATTAAACCAGTTACTCTTTGTAGCTGAAGAGAGTATTCTTTAAAGCAGTATGTCTGAGAAATACAATCACTAAATTTCACAAGGAAAAAAGTTAAAAACAAGTAAACCCAAATCTTTATCTAGGATATATCTATGCATATACACACACACATGCATCTATATACATAGATAGATGGGCACATACACAAATGTGTGTATATGCTTAACATACATATATACATACAGTGGGTATTTATTTTTTAGAGTCACACCAACTTTTTTTAATCCTAGAGCCTATTTGACTATCCAGACTGAAAGTAACTAGAAGTGAAATTAAAATAAGCCTTAACTACAGAACAAAGTAAAAATCTTGGGCCTCATTTTGTTGAATTAAATCAAGATCACATGTTCACTTCAATGTCTCAATAGAAATGTTCTGTTCTTAGATACCAAAGCCAGACAGTTCATTTTCTAGTTCTTAACACCTATACACATTGCAGATGTAGCTGGTAAGCTCAAGGAGAATGTCTTCTTGTGGGCTGTCTTCAAAATGTACTAATTCTGAGAAGTTTGGGACTCTTAAAAGTAAGATTAAAAGCAGTAGGAGGCGTGGCCCTTGAAATATTTGAAACTGTTGATAGCTATGAGCTCCCTGGGACCTCATGGCCATAATATCTCCTGTGTGTGCTGTTGGCCACATACCACAGCATCTCTCGCCCTATCATTCAATCAGAAGTTTAGACTTTCAGGTCACTGTGACAGTTTCAAATGCTTTTAGAAAGCCAAGGCCAACATTTCAACACCACAAAACCTCCATGAAAGTGAGGAAAGTGATGGCTCCCTCTCAACTCCAGGGAAAACCCTTCAAAATAGCTCTTTTACTCATTATTTGTCAAACCAGTCATGCAATGGACAGAGTGTTTATGTTCCCCCCAAATTTGTATGCGATCCCTAATCCCTAATGTAATGGTATTGGATATAGGGCCTCTGGGAGGCAATTAGGTCATAAGGGTAGAAACGTAATGAATTGGGATTAGTGCTCTCATAAGAAGAGACATGAGAGAGATGATCTCTTTCTCCACCATGTGAAGATACAGCAAGTAGGTGACAGTCTGTAAACCAGGAAGAGGGCCCTCCCAGAAACCTCATTGACCAGCACTTTGATCTTCCACTTCCTAGCCTCCAGAACTGTGACAAATAAGTATTTGCTGCTTAAGGTGCATAGTCTGTGGTATTTGGTTATAGCAGCCTGAACTAAGACAAGTGGTGGTTAAGCAACCCAACCCTTTTAACATAGCAAGCTACGTGGGTATGAAATTTATGTTGTAAATGTCCTAGGTCAATAGCACCAAATGTCCTAGGTCAATAGTAACTCTGTCATCATTACTTCTTGGGGGTAATTCAGTCCATATCAATACTTCTGGCAAGGTGAACTCTAAATCTCCCCTTCATCTCTCTTGGTCAGTGGAATTGCCTATTGATTAGAGAGATGACATTTAGGGATGTCATGTATTATTAGTCAATGTAGGAATCTTTGTAATGCATAATGTAATTTAGGTCAAGGAAGGGATAAATGCTCTCTTGGAATAATAAGGTCATGGCTAATCATTCATAAGAACAAGTAACAAGTTTTCACACTAGAGTGCATGTGAAGTTTTTACAGCCTAGATTATTAGGGAAGATGTAAGCTATTTCAGAAAGAAGTGGCAAGATGTGCTTGATTTTAGGTACTCTATAAAATATCAATTGTAGCCCCAAGTGACTATTCACCTCATTCCGCACTTGCCCCTGTATACAGGAATAGGATTCACAAATCACTGAGTTCAGCATGCTTCTCTGGCACTTACGGAACTGTGATGATTAAGCCAGGAAGGAATAGCCAAGAAAGCCACCAAGGCTGTGGCGTTCTCAAAACAGGAATATGTGTGTTAACATGGACTGAGATGTTATTTGTGTAAAACAGAGTCACAGTCCTTAGGATTTGTCCTCCACACACCTCTCACTTTGCCCCACCCCACATTCACACAACAAGTACAAGAGGAAGATTTAGTCAAAAGGAAAGAGAATTTCTGAACATTAGAATGATCCAGACAAATCTCTCAGACGTATTTCCCACTCACACCAATCTCTTTAAGGTGGGGCTCGGGGGAATAAAGATATTCTTAGGGAGCAGGAAAAGAAGGGATGGCCAGATGGCTGCATAGTGCAATAGATCTCTCCTACTTTAGAGGATTGACTGCTGAAGAAAAAGATATATTGACCTACATAAACTGCTATAGCAGATTTCCACAGACTGGGTGGTTTAAACAATGGAGATTTATTATCTCATAGTTCTGTAGGCTGGAAGTCCACAACCAAGGTGCCAGCAGGCAGGATTGGTTTCTGGTGGGGTATGTTTTCTTTTCTTTCCTTTTTTTGTTAAATTTTACTTTAAGTTCTGGGATACATGTGTAGAACGTGCAGGTTTGTAACATAGGTGTACATGTGCCATGGTGGTTTGCTGCACTTATCAATCTGTCATCTAGGTTTTAAGCCCCACATGCATTAGGTATTTGTCCTAATACTCTCCCTCCCTTTGGCCCTCACTCCCTGACTGGCCCTGGTGTGTAATGTTTCCCTCCCTGTGCTCATGTGTTCTCATTGTTCAACTCCCACTTATGTGTGAGAACTATTTGGTTTTCTGTTCCTGTGTTAGTTTGCTGAGAATGATGGTTTCCAGCTTCATCCGTGTTCCTACAAAGGACATGAACTCATTTTTTTTATAGCTGCATAGTATTCCATGGTGTATATGTGCCACATTTTCTTTATCCAGTCTATCATTGATGGGCATTTGGGTTGGTTCCAAGTCTTTGCTATTGTGAATAGTGCTGTAATAAACATACATGTGCATGTGTCTTTATAGTAGAATGATTTATAATCCTTTGGGTATATACCCAGTAATGGGATTGTTGAGTTAAATGGCATTTCTGGTTGTAGATCTTTGAGGAATCGCCACACTGTCTTCCACATGGTTGAACTAATTTACACTCCCCTGATGGGGTCATTTTTCTTGGCTTTTAGGGCACTGCCTTCTTGCTGTGTCCTCACATTGCCTTTCCTCTGTGTGAGTGCAGAGAGAGAGAAAGATCTCTGATGCCTCTTTGTCTTCTTATAAGGGCATCAGCCCTATTGCATGAGGGCCCCACCCCATGACATCATTCACATTTAATTAGCCCTTTAGAGACTCTGTCTCCACATACAGTCACTTTGGGGGTTAGGACTTCAACATATAAATTTTGAGGGGACATAATTCTCTAGATAACAGGAGATATCATATGTAAATGATTTAAAACCTTACAGAATAAAAGGGCAAAATAGCAAATGAAGCCAGGGGTTAAGTTATGCAAATACATGTATCTTGTAAGGTTCTGACCAAACTTACATCGGCTCAACTTTAATTCTGAACCCAATGGCCAAGACCAAGAGGTAAACACCATCAGTTATAGAGCCCACCATGTCAATAAACTCTTATTTGCTGCTCAGGAGAAAAAAAATTTTTCTTAGAGTCAAGGCCTGAAAGATATTTTCTGTATTTCAATTATACTTTTAAAGTTAAAGTAAAGCCTGGCTTAATAACATTGGGTCTAAGTATATTTCTTATTAGAAGCTTACAGAATAAATGCAAATCAATTATTTAGTAAAAGTGATTCTATGAAACATAACGTAGGCCAATCACATTTAATAAAACTTTCAATCAGTTAAACACCACAATTTTTTTTTTTTTTTTTTTTTTTTTTGAGATGGAGTCTCGCTCTGTCACCCGGGTTGGAGTGCAGTGGCAACCTCTGCTTCCTGGGTTCAAGCGATTCTCCTGCCTCAGCCTCCCGAGTAGCTGGGACTACAGGTGTGTGCCACTACACCTAGCTAATTTTTGTACTTTTAGTAGAGACAGGGTTTCACCATGTTGGTTGGCCAGGATGGTCTCGATCTCTTGACCCCGTGATCCGCCCGCCTCGGCCCCCCAAAATGCTGGGATTACAGGTGTAAGCCACTGTGCCTGGCTGACAATTGTTATTTTATAGCTCTAAAATAAGTAATGAATAGTATGAAACTGATTTTTATTTTCTAACCTTTGCTTATTAGAAAGGTACACTACCATGCATGCTTTTAACCAAAAGAAAATGCCAACATTTTCAGATAATATGGATACAAAGAGGC